TTTTCATTGAAATGTCACTTACATACCCTGTCCATGCTTGGCTGCTCTCGGAGTGCTTTCAAGCATTGGGCTCTCAAAAAACAAAGGGAATTCAGCACTTAATCGCAGCTCAGCACTCCACTTACTTATTAGCAAAACATGGAGTTGAAAGGCAAAATCCCAGGCAGAGCAATTCCGGTAATAATAAAAACTTCTGCAGATTTTACCACCGGTGGTTACCTGCCTGTTTGAGCTGCCTCCCAAGGTGTTACAGGGTTATGAGGCACCTGTGTCTGGCAGGGGAGAGCTGATAAACAGCAGGAATGGGACACTGGGATTCTGAGCCTGCAAACTTGTGGGCAGGGCTCTCCTCCGAGCGTGACTTGCAGCCGGCAGGAAGGAGCCTCCGTCATCTCGGCTTTTCTGTGAAGGAAATCATCTGAATAATTCAACTGAGTTAAGAGACCAAGCTGGAAAAACCCCAAGGTCAGGGGTTTAGGCTTGGTTTGGGCTGGGCTTTTTTCTGAATTTAAGGAGAAACATTTTGGGGTTGGGTCAACCAGGTTGCTCACCCTAAAGGCTGATTCTCAGTAGAGATGTCAAAGCTTCAAAAGACATCACACAGGGGAAATACCCTGGAGAACCAGAACCAGCAGCCAACAGGATCTGGGTAAAGCAGCCATCCTACTGAGGGGATCAGATGTACTGTTTGGGAGCACAGCTCCCCCAGAGAGGTGGAAAGCTATACCAGGCAGGCATTAGGGTTTTCTCTTTCTTTAACTAGATCCTAATATTAATGGGAATTCCTCTGGATCTGGCAATGTTCTTGACTGTGAAAAAAAAATGCAGTGACACTGCAGAGATGGGCCTTCAGGTTTGATTGTGGCTTGCTGAGCTACATGCTTCTCCAAGAATGCTACAGAAGTTTTGGAGGTGCTTTTTGGACCCATTTTTAGCCTGTTTTCCAAAGGCAGTAAGGCAATGACTCTCTATCCAAGCTTGCCAGCCCTTGGTAATTTCTGACCTCTTGTGTGAGCTTCAACCATCTTTGACAGAAGAGCAGAGATAGCAAAAATACTAAGTTCCTAAACACTTCAAGGAAATACAGATGAATAAAGGAGGACAATGAAATTACTGTCTTAATCGATTTTTAACATGGCCCCATATCCTTTTTGAGAGGCAGCAGCCCCAGCTCCTGTGGCTTTGACTGGTGTAGGTTACAGAAAAATCTCTGGGAAACCAAACTTTGCTGCTTCACGCTTCAGTGCAGGTGAACAATACAGATGAAGTCAGAGTCAAGCCTTGGGAATCTGCTTCGATCTGCCCAGGCAGCGCCTTCAGAAGCAGCGTTTGCAAATGGACACGTAAAACTCAGATGGAAAAGGTGTTTAGATTGGATATTAGGAAAACTTCCTTCACCACAAGGGTTGTCAAGCACTGGCAAATGGTGCCCAGGGAAGTACTGGAGTCACCATCCCTGGAGGTATTTAAGAGATGTGTAGATGTGGCACTTGAGGACATGGTAAGTGCTGGACTTGGCAGTGCTGGTTTAATGGTCGGACTCGATGATCTTAAAGGCCTTTTCCAACCCAAATGATTCCATGTGTTTATGTAAATCCATTTTTATGCAAGATTTTCCAGGACACAGAAAATGAATCATCAATACTCAAAGAGGCTGATTATGCCTGACAACACTAACCACAACAGATTATCAAGATCTTTCCCATGTGAAATAAGGCAGATTGATTAGGAGATACAGTAGGGTAATTCTTACCAAGTGGCAACAATAGCAACGAAAAATCCTGGTACTGCTCATTAACAGAGCTTATTATTCTACCAAAATACAGTTTCATAAAACTTCTATTTCTGAAAGCAGGATATTTCCCCCTGACTTTTACAACATCCTCTGGGTAATCTCAGCATACAGAAGGAATGAAACTTTCAGAGTTTCATTTTAGTTTTTGTCTTTGTTGCCTGTGTAGGTCTTAACAGTACTTTAGGAAATCCAAGGTTGGGAAGGAGTAGGTGTTTTCTTGGTTGGAAAGCACATCATCCTCATGGAAATAAAACAAATGTTCTACAGCACTTTTCTATATTGCCTGCAAAATTTTAGCAGAATCATCAGAGGACAGGCAGCAATTGTCCTACATCTGTACTCTGCTTTGCAGCTACACCCCTAACTCCACCTCATACCAAAGCTGAGCAATACTGCTTGGAGTGAGAGGCAGCAAGGGATTGTCCACAACCTTGCCAAAATTAGAGGCACTGGGTTGGAATATCTTGCACTTTAGGAAAACAAATAAAGAAAAAATAGTCCAGCCCTTTCTAAGTGACAGGATAACACTTTGAGACTGCATATGAAATTCTGAGTTGTCAAATCTGGGGATCTCCAGCCTGCATTTCTGGTGTACCTTGGTCTTACCTCTCGGTTTGAACAGTTCTGTGATGGCTTGTATACAATGTATGTGAAAAGAAGGTGGTGAAACCAAAGCCAGAGATCTCATCTCCCCATGGACATGCCAGGAAACATACAGGACAGAGTCACCAACAGCTAGGTAATCCTGGGAAGAGCTCCCAGGGGGCCTGGCAGGAACAAATTAAGTGTCAAATACACATGGACAGCTGCCTCTTAAACTCCCTTCCTTCCAGCTCCAGCACAGACACTGAGACCTTTACTTGCCCATATGTTTGACAGAATAAACGAGGTGTGATATTTATCCTCCAAGCTGGCCTGCTAACAAGCATGACTTTCATGGAAAAGCAGATGTACCCAAGGACAAACATAAACAGAGAGGCTTGGTCTACCTCCAAAAGCCTTCTCCCACAGAGGTGCTGCGAGATGCTCAAGGACTATAATGTGGATTTTCCACAACATAGCAAGGAGTGCTCTAAAGGTTGGTAATGAAAATGCTGTCCATGACACAAAATAACCATTGGAAACTATTAGCTCGAGTTCACTTAGCAAGCGAGGACCCAGGTAGAAGGTCATATGGATTTGAGATTTGCTGTGCCCATAACACTGACCTTTGAGTGGCCCTGATTTTACCCACCCTTTTTTTCCATTCTGAATGCTGCTTCCTGAAAGCTGCTTGATCAGAACCTTTCTGCTTCATTTCAGAACCCAAGTTTTAAATGTAGGCAACTGTTGTGTTGTTCAGGAGAAATACACAAAAATGAGAAGATAAAAAACCCACAAGGAATCTAATAATAAATAGGGCAGAAATGTAAACAAATAGATACTTCATGCTGTGCAGTGGTTCACAGCTATTGTATCAACAAGTTAGTGTTACCTTGGAAACCAGAAATTATCTGTACATGCCTTCTCCCAGACAGGAATCCATGAAAGGAGGCATGCAGAATGGATTTTGAGCCTTCTGGACTTTGCAGAGTTGCTGCCCAACTGTTGATGCCAACTGATCCCAAACTCAACTACTGATGAAAGTTCAGAGGTCGCACTTCATGCAACACCCACAGCGATGAGAGTGAGCCCCTGGCATTCTTGTCCTCTCCACCTGGGGATAACACAGCCCTTTCCCAAGAACTTGCAGAAAGGTTATTCCCTGCATTCTATTCAGTGCTCTCTGTCTACCTTGTAACACAAGGCACAGCTCTTTGTTAGGGCTGGGGATTGCTCAGAGCAGCCACCCCAAAGGCTGCTGATGGGTTTCCAGCTGGGCATCTCATCCTGGTGGGCATCAGTGAACCTCTGTCCCTCTGGAATAGCCAAATGCTTGGCCCTTGGAAGACTAGTTAGCTGGGTTTACAAGCACAGCTATAACAGAAAGGATAATTCCCTAGTCAGCGTTGAACTGTGAGCAAGCAGAAATTTATACCAAGATATATTTTCAGTGTCACCTGTGACTACAGAACTACATTTCAGATAACCCAAAGATCTGGATGTAAGGAATTTATAAAAGTGAAAGTTACACTACACTGAACAAGCTAATAAGAAGGAATAATACCGGTATTTTTTTTCCTAAAGAGATTAAACAAAACTAAGGCTTTGTAAAACAACTGATCACAAAACCAGTACTTCCCACAATCCAGCTGGTTTGTTGGAATACGTACAACACTGGTGTTCCTGTACAAGTCTTTTTGTAGTGCTCTGAACTGAAACACAGGGCTACAAAAACCGTATTCTTCCCACACTGCCAGTAGAACAACTTCTGATGACATTGCCATGCCTGGATGTTACCAATAGATAAGGGACCAGTACAGTCCCCAGCTTTCCCTGGGGTATTTAACCCCAGAACTTCCTCTATCAAATGCTGTCAGGTTTCCTTATGCTATGTGTGGCTTTTCCCAGCTATAATTTACTCTTCTGCCCTGTCTGTCTGTTCTGATCTTGTTTGATGTGATCTCACAATTGAATAAGAGAGAGGTTAGAGCTGGTGTACGATGAAATTTTAACTTCAAATCACGGTTTTTAATTGATTTCAGAATGAGGTAAAAATAGAAGCAGCATGAGCATCTGCCTGCCCCTTCCTTCCTTTCTGAGGGGTTGATGTGGCAGGAGGACAGGGTCAGCTACAGAGTATCATGCATGTGATGGGATCCTGATTTTCTCAGGCCCAGAGGGGGAAAATGAAGAAGGAGAGGGGCTCTGGTGAGGGAGATGTGTCAAGGAACTCTACCACTGCTGCTGGGTCAAGGATGATGCTGCCTTGCAAGTGCAGTACTCAGGTACCCATGCACATGGTGGCATCTCGGGTAACCCAAGCTCAGTACAGAGCAGGTACCTGCTGAGACACAGAGGTCTGTTCAGATCCCTTTAACGTCTCCTCTTTGCTCTGGTTTGATTTGGGTGACACTCATCACAAAACCATTTAATTCCCAATTTCACAACAACTCAGCCCGTTATAACTGGAGATTCATTTTTAACCACCCACCAGGGATTTTGCAGTCTGTAGCACGCTAGACAAATACCTCTCATGTACCCCATCTTTTGGGTTAAAGAACAAAACCAGAACAAGAAGAGGTGGCAATTTTGACACAAAAAATTCATTAGGTTCAGTACTTACAACTGCATGACCAGGTACAAATGGTTCGGGCTCTCATAGATGTCTTCCAGGGCAACTATGTTTTCATGCTTGATCCTGAAAAACCACAAGATAAGATAAGATGAAATACTGATTTTAATTTTTTTTTTTTTTTTGCGTGACTGCGAAACCTAAAGCTATTTTTAGTTAGGCACTACTTGTCAGTGTTTTATTCAACATCATAAATTTTTTGCAAGGACATGTAGTGATAGAACAAGGGGTAATGGCTTTAAACTGAAAGAACGTAGGTTTGGATTAGATGTTAGGAATAAATTCTTTACTAGGAGGGTGGTGAGTCACTGGAACAGACTGTCCAGAGAAGCTGTGGATGCTGCATTCCTGGGAGTGTTCAAGGCCACGTTGGATGGGGCTCTGAGTGACCCGATCTAGTGGAAGGTGTCCCTGCCCATGGTAGGGGGATTGGAACTTGATCACATTTAAGGTCCTTCCAACTGAAGTAAATAGCCAGAAGTGCTTCACAGCCCAGATTTCTGTTATTACTCAGAGAAATTTCTTTCAATCCTCTCCAATGGCAAAATGTGTAAGGTTTAAGTATATGAGGCATTAGAGGTTCAGATGAATGAAGATGGTTGGTTGGAGGTTAAATTCTCAGGACGGCTTCGCTGCAGGGTGCAGGGGAGTGATGGAGGCAGGGTGTAGGATGACAGCGAGAAAGCAGGGATTTGACTCTCTGCAGAAGCTGGCACAGGTAGGCAGCAGCCACATGACAGCCCCACACTCCTTCACACCAAATTCACGCAGCTCTGATGTCCAGCCTGGTCCTCGCAGCTGAATTTCCCTGCAGCACTACTAAGCACTGGGTGCTTTCTGTACAACACCCCTAAGCAACCAATGGGTTTTCTATGTCCTCACCATTCCCACCAAGCCTCTTGTCAAAACACTAGCTTCAAAGACAAAAATCAACTCCACAAGCACCCATCTAATTAACCAGTTGAGCAATAACTCTCTGGGTTTGCTCCTTAAATGCTAACAAATAATGTGCAAAGGATACATCCAAGTTGTGCAAACCCTAAAGAGACTGCCAGTACAAGCCCAGGGGAAGAATATTAATTACACCAACTGCAGACAATCATTTCAAGAGAAAGATGGAAAATGCTAAGCAGAGGCCACTCATTAAGCAAGAGATGGACATGTTCAGAAAGAAAGTAAATGCGCATTGTCAGCAAATCCAAAACTCTCTACATGTTTCTAGGTTCAAGTAGCTTAATTAAGATGCTTAATTGTGTATCAGGGCCTTATCCTCAGTGGTCCCAAGTGTCCTAACATCTGTGTGAGGATGCTGAGAGCAGAAGATCCCCTGCGCCCAGCAGGATCTTTACTGTAAGCACACAGACTAATTTAATTTCCTCTGAATTCACTGGAAAGATTATGACTGACCTGAATTTACACTCATAGTCATCAAAAGCTTATTCATATAACAACCTTCACACACAGGAAATTTAACATCAACAATAAGCAAACTCAAATAAAATGCACTACAGGATGTTAGAGTAACAAATACACGACTTGGCTATTCACTCCACCTAAATATCTGGAAAATCCCATGATATTTTAGCGAAATTTCCTGGTAGATTGCATTGCAAATTAAATTCTTAGTATTTGCAACAGGAAAACAATACACCTCCCACCTGGCTTTACACAGCACATGTGTTTGGAAGTGTTTATTTTGTTTATTTGTGCAGGTCTAGTGCCTGGTCCCTTAAGGGTTAGGTAGGGCAAGGGCAGGTTTGCCTTGTTTAGGTTAGTTGAAGGTACATCACAAATGACATTTCCAGCAATTAGTCACTTTTACTGAAAATTATTACATTATCCATTTTCCTTTACCCACATGCACATTCACATGATCATCTGTGTTCCTCCTACCACCACCATCAAGGCAGTTTAACACAAACAATCTGCCACAGTGTTATCTGGCTTAAAGCCCCCAACTTAGCGGTATGGTTTTTACCTTGCCTGTATTAACGCTTTGCATTTCTATTTTTGAGAACCTCAGAGGTTCCCCAAACCAGCCAGAACCCTCTGAGGCAGCTGCAGCAACCCCTGACCGTGACACACGTGGCCAACGGGTGGGTTACCCGCAGAGGGAACAGCCAGGGAGGCAGAGGCCAGAGGGGAGCTCATCAGACATGCAACGCCACGCACCGAGGGCTGCGGCGAGACCCTCTCCCCTTCCTGATTTGCAAACCAAATGGGCACTGCACCACTGTGCTCTCAGAAGGCAGATAAACTTGCTCAGTGCTAGGGGGGAAAAAAAAGGTTTGGTCCCACCACTGCAGAGTCCTCTGTATAGAGCCAATCTGTGAAATCAGATGCGGGATGTGAGTATGTGGGATCCAGCAAGTATAAACTAGAAGAAGGCAGCAGAAGAAGCTGAATCACCCCCAAAGTACACAGAGGGCAATGTCTCATAGGGATGAAGGCATTTGGAAGAAGATACCCCTTTGGGAGGTGATATCTGTGCACACCATGCTGGTGGCTGCTGCACTCAAGGGGCTTGCTGAGATGGAGAGAGAAGTTTTTCTCCACTTTCTCTCAACCTCCCCAAGACCAGCAAGGCCTTAATTGTGGTGTTACACCGTGTTTAATATCCCTGGTGAAGTGCATGTCACACACCTGCAAATGAAACCACTTGTCCTGCGCAGCATTTCTCTGCTCGGACAAACTTTCAAATGGCAAGCTATCAAAAGGAAAAAGGAATTAAAAATTAAAGAAAAACCCAGCAACGTGGAAATCTCTCAGGGTGAAACCCACAGGTCAGATGAAGCTGTGGGGGGGTGTGTTCCTGAAGCTGGACCGGAGCAGCCGTGGGCTTCCCAGCAGAGGTCACTGCCCAGCTGCAGCTCCTCTGCCTCTCACTCCAGAAATTCACACAGAAATTTGTGTGGTCCTTTCTTCACTTTAAAGCACGGGCAAGCGGTCGCTTACAGCCTGGATGCACAGTAATTAACGCCGAACACTGTTCATTTGAATAGCACCCTGGGGTTTGGGAAGCTGGGCGTGGGTAGCATCACATTGTTTTGTTGATACCCCAAAGGCTAACGGGGATGGGGCAAATTTGTCCCACTCCTCTGCAAGCAGATCATCAGTGCCAGATGCACAGGTAACAGCCAGGTACACACTTCAGGCTTGCACGGATGTTTGGGTACATCGAGAGCCAAGGAAAGCACTGTGCAGTGGCAGCTACTTGATGGTCACGGATCAGGAGGGATTTGAGAATGGGTTAATTAACTCCACTTTTATCCCCACCAGGAGCACCGAGTGAATCTCAAAGGTTCAGAGGATTCATTCTGCTAAGCCTCCAAATGCCTGCACGCAGCCTGCCCGGTGAGCTCGCCCAGCAGAAATACTCACCAGGCTGTCTGATCTCCTCGAGACCTGACAGGATTTATTTTTTTAAAAGGTGCTGCTCTCACTTTACAAAAGAGGAAGCACCATGAAGAAAAACTTGAAGATTTCTCACGAGATGAGGGAGCAGAGAGGACCAAAAATCCAGATCCCTCAATCCCACAGTATTATCTTAACCAATGGGCCATACTATTGCCACCCCTTCTCCTTCCCATCTCAGAGAGACAACATTAACCCCACTTGTTTGTTGCCTTTTCCTTCATTCTGTCCTCCCTGTCCATACTCCTCTCTTTCCCAAGGTGTGGCTCCCACACTGTAACTGATAAATGTGCCCTGGATTAACTTCACACAAAGCAACACATTGATGGCATTGAAATACATGATGGTACAATTATGGCTGTAGCAGAGGGGACATGGGCATGCACCCATTAATTGTTTCCAAAGAAATAAAAAAAGCCCTGAAAGTGAACATCAAAGCGTGGTCTTGGGTAAAGTAATTTAGATCAGACTACGCAAATTATTATGAACAAGGAAACACACAGCTAAGGAAAATTGCCCTTACCACCCTTTTAACCTCCCTTTCATCATAATTGCTATTTTTCCTCCCCCTCCCCCCCCCTTCCTGGAAAACCCCATGTGCTGCTTGCATCTTCCACACCCTGATTTGTCCCCACAAATCCCTCTGGCTGTGACACAAAGGGCACATGTCACCTTCAGCCACCACTGCTTTGTTCATTTTCAGGAATATTCTGAGACCATTAGACGGAAAGAAGAAGCCTAGAAATAAAAATACAAATAAAGAGAGGCTAATGCATTTTTTACATTCTGGACTCTTCACCCTACAAGGCCCATGGGATGCTGCAATCCAGGGGAAAAAGAAGAGGAAAGCAAATCAAGGAGTGAGAATCAGGGAAATTTAAGTTTACACAAAAACATGAAGAGGGACTAACCCTGGTAGGAAACTATGAAAATAAAGGCTGTGTTCCCCATGTTCAGAACAGCCCTGGTTTGGAAGCTGTGCCTCAGGCAGACACAAACCACGGGGCTCGATGCAACCATGCAAAATTATCAGGCTTCCCCTCCAGCCTCTCAGGTCTGTGATTCTGCCATGTGCTGTTACAGAGGTGTCAACAACACAAATGAATGAAGGTAATGTTGCACTTGAGCAATATTTTAACACGTTACTAGCCAAGCCTTAAAGGAGCAAACTAAGCTGTGCAACCAAGGACTTCAAGAGGCTTTTCTGGGCACGGCAGCTGTGCAAACAAGGGCTGATGAAAGAGTGATTGATCTGTGGCAGAGCCCCAAGCACAGACTGGTCCCTTTGATTGCTGTGGAGCCATTGCACAAGAGCATTTATAGGGAAATTGTCACTTTCTTCTGATTGCTACAGCATTCAGAAACACAGAAACGTCCACCTCTGAAGGAGCTGAAACACATCCCCGAAACAAGACCAAACTTGACCAGGAATGGCATTTTCTCCCTGCACAAAAGTTTCCATCACACCAAATGGGGCGTGCTGCAGCCTTGGAGTGGTGATGAATACGTGGCATGGGACCCCAGTGATGCTAAAATCCTTCCTTGCCACTGGCCAGCACAGAGACATCATGTCCTACCCGCTGCCACCAGAAGGGCAGAAGTCCCATAGGTCCAAAACTAGCTCTAATACCCAATACTCACTTCGATATTTG